TCAGTAAATGCACAGCTAAACAGATGAGTTTTGAGTCTGCATTTAAATGTGACTGTTACGTACACTGTGCTACGTAAGCTTGCTTATGTATATGTTACTGTATGGGTGTGTTTGTATGTATGCTTTGTCTGTTTCAGATGCGAAGTTCATTGGAGGTCATTACTGAAAGGGCTGGCTGTTCACAGAGTGCTGTATCAAAGCATATTGAATGCAAAGTTGACTGGAAGGAAAAAATTGGGTAGGAAAAGGTGCACAAGCAACAGGGATGACCGCAAGATTGAGAATACTGTCAAACAAAGCCGTTTCAAACACTTGGGAGAGCTTCACAAGGAGTGGACTGACACTGGAGTCAGTGCATCAAGAGCCACCATGCTCAGACGTCTTCAGGAAAAGGGCTACCAAGCCACTTCTGAAACAGAAACAATGTCAGAAGCATCTTACCTGGGCTAAGGAGAAAAAGAACTGGACTGTTGCTCAGTGGTCCAGAGTCCTCTTTTCAGATAAAAGTAAATTTTGCATTTCATTTGGAAATCAAGGTCTGGAGTCTGGAGGAAGACTGGAGAGGCACAGAATCCAAGCTGCTTGAAGTCCAGTGTGAAGTGTCCGAAGTCAGAGATGATTTCTGGTGCCGTGACGTCTGCTGGTGTTGGTCCATTGAGTTTTATCAAGTCCAAAGTCAATTCAGCCGTCTACCAGGAGATTTTGGAGCACTTTATGCTTTCATCTGCTGACAAGCTTTATGGAGATGCTGATTTCCTTTTCCAGCAGGACTTTAGCACCTGCCCACAGTGCCAAACCCACTTCCAAGTGGTTTGCTGACCATGATATTACTTTGCTTGATTGGCCAGCCAACATGCCTGACCTGAACCACATATGGAATCTATGGGATATTTTCAAGAGAAAGGCTCAATAGTGCCTCAGCAGTGCCACAGGCTGATCGCTTCCATGCCACACCTCACTGATGCTGGAGTTTGTGCTAAAGGAGCCCTGACCAAGTATTGAATGCATAAATGAACATACTTTAAAGAACTTGAACTTTTCTGTTTTGCAAATCCTTTTTTTGATTGATCTTAGGAAATATTCTAATATTTTGAGATACTAGATTTTTGACTTTCATGAGCTGTAAGCTCTAATAATCAAAATTAAAACAAAAAAAACTTTTGAAATGTTTTACTTTACATGAATCTAGAATATATGAAAGTTTCACTTTTTGAAATAAGTTACAACAAAAAAAAATTACTTTTTTTTTTAGATGCACCTGTATATATATAAAAAAAAAATCTGTAAGCTATATATGTCAGGTTTTACAGGGTTAAAGATGATTTTATTTCCCAGCGGACTGACTCAGATCTTGACTCTCAGAATCTGCGCTGCAGTCGATCTGTTATTAAATCAAGATCTTAATAGTTCTGGATGCAGAATTCATCATCAGGCGGTCAGTGAGTGGACTGAGGGACTGCGGGGGTCCGTTCAACAGATCTGTTGTTAAAAGCGTGTGCAAATTAAAACTGACAACATCCCACAGATCTGATCAAAAATTTTATATCTGGAAATATTCTAATATTTTGAGATACAGGATTTTTGATTTTCATGAGCTGGAAGCTCTAATCATCTAAATAAAAAAAAATAAAACGTTTGAAATGTTTTACTTTACATTTAATGAATCTAGAATATATGAAAGTTTCACTTTTTGAAATAAGTTACAAAAAATGAACTTATATATACCTATATATATATACCTATATATATATACCTATATATATATACCTATATATATATACCTATATATATATACCTATATATATATACCTATATATATATACCTATATATATATACCTATATATATATACCTATATATATATACCTATATATATATACCTATATATATATACCTATATATATATACCTATATATATACCTATATATATATATATCTTTATGAAAATACACATAATAATTATTGGGTCTAGATACTGCGTATAATGTTATAATTTAACCATTTAAATATTTATCACATATTTATCTCGTATACAGGGTCTTTGTGAGCCTCATGTTCTAATTAGTAATATTAAGCAACATGCAACAAGTTTTGTTGGTCTCTTGAGGCCAGTTTTACAGAAACCTTAATCTGGATTTGGAAATTCGCTATCCAGGATCAGGTAATCCATCTTACTTTTCTGCTGGTTTTTCAAAGCAAAATTGGATTTTGGATCACAATGATCCAGAAACAAAGTTTTTCAGATTACCAAATCTGGATTAGTAGTGCTCTACAGAAACCCTAAAGGGACATGGTAATGGGGAAAAAATATGAGATGGAAAAAAATATGTCATTGCTTTTGCATTCTCTCCAAAAAGTTTTATTAAAATGTTTTAAACTAAACAAACTGACGATTTGATATCGATCAAAACCAAGCTTGGATTTTGTGATCTAATCCACCTTCAGAATCCTTTTTTCTTTTGATCCAATCCGATAGATAGATAGATAGATAGATAGATAGAAAGAAAGAGGCCTAAAAATGTAACTTTGGCTCTGCTTTGATTGTAAAGTTTTAGTATTTAATTTGTGCTGTCCATAGGTTCTTGTCAGAAAAAAGAATGTAAGTGTGACGTGCGATGATTGTATTATTGTATTGAAGCGTCAGTTCCATTTGTATGTTGAATAGAGGTTTGTCGTTTGGCGGCGGTCTGGTTTTCCTCTTGTTCTGAGTTTAAATAGAGCTCAATGCGCTCCAGTCGCCTGTCAGTGTGAGCGAAGATAAACACAGAAAAGAGTGATGAAATTTAAGATTGAAAATGAAGAGGAACGACCGCGGTGGAGGCTGTTGTTATCCCCGGGAAAACAGAACGAAACGAAGGCTTAACTTCAGGGGAATTCTGCACACAATTACAAGTTTCTGAGACACTTTTCTTTTTATGTTCATGTGTGTGTTGTGTGTGTTTCAGACTGATGTCCTTTCTCCTCCCCATCTTTGTCTCCTTAATGCTGGGCTCTCTGGTAAAATAAATGCAGTAGACAAGAGTTCAAAGCTGCATTTGATGTCGTATTTGCTGAGAGGAGAAGCGAACAAAAGCGCTGAAAGCCTCTCTCACTCCTGCCTTCTCTCTCTGTCCCGGTGGTCTACTGGTTCTCTGCCTCTAGTAATCACGGTGCTGTGGAAAGGGCGGGGGGGGGGTTGTGTGTTATTAGTAATGGTATAGAGGACAAAGACACGGGTGAGAGGCTTTTATTGATACACTGCTTGATTGGGCAGTGGGTTCACTCTCAAATCTTCAGTGTTGATTTTGGGGCAAAAGCTCCACAAAGTCACAACACAGAGTAAACTCTGAAAGACCATGAGAGGAAGGAATAGGTAAGAAATATTTCTGGGGAGATGTTGAGGGCGTCACAAACAAAAGAACCTCAAAGGACATTTATATCATCAGTACATTTGTTTTATTAGTACAGAAAACCTCATATTATATTTATTTTGAACAAATTTTTATCACTTGTGTTATTTGTTAAATTAATCAAAACAAAAAGTCACCAAAAATATTCCATGGTAAATTTAGTTTCCACCAAAATAAAAGTTACTAGTTGTTTTATAATACTATAAATTAATAAAGCATTATGTCAGGAGAAAACGTGGTGCATTGATTGATTTTACCATAGTTAAAAATAGACTGTAAAGACATTTATAATTATACAAAAATTATCTATTAATATTAATCTATTATAGCTAGCTGTATTAATCTCATTAGTATCACGGTTTCCAAAAAAATATTAAGCAGCTCAACTATTTTCAACATTGAAAATAAGAAGAATCCATAATGTTTCTTTAGCTGCAAATCAGCATATTAGAATGATTTCTGAAGGATCATGTGACATTGAAGTCTGAAGTAATGATGCTGAAAGTTCAGCTTTGCATTACAGGAATAAATTGCATTTTCAAATATATTCAAATAGAAAATGGTTATTTTAAATTGCAATAATATTTCATAGTGTTTTACCATAAATAAAATAAATGCATTCTTGGTAAGTATAAAAGACTTGTTTGAAAATCATAAAAAATGTTATCGACCCAACTTTTGAATGGCGTATTTATTAGGGAATCTTCAGGTTTGCTGTTGCATATGACTTATCATGTCTCTGCTTTTGTTTCTTCTGCAGAAATGCATGAAGTTTAATGTGGAGTCGCCCATCTGGTTGTCTAAACAACAAATCCTCTGCACACTCAACCAGAGCCTGAAGGATGTGCTAAACTACGGCCTCTTCCAGCCTGCGTACAACAGCAAAGCTGGGAAGTTCCTGGATGAGCAGCGAACACTGAAAGAATACCCACTTCCTGCCATCTCTCCTGTCCCATACCTAGAGGTGAGGGTCTTCTCTAACTCATGGAGCAGATTCAAGTCTATTGTGGCCATGCTGTAAATTTCTCATATTGCTTTTCCGCTTCCCACCCATGTTCTGCTCAATACCTTTATAGTTCAATACCTAATACCTCTCTCCATATCATCCTCTGATTAGTTGTGTTCTGAGATTGCCTAAGGGAATGTTATCCATGTGTATTTAATGCAATGTTAACTAATGGAACACTGCAAAGTATGTGGTTAGACTGAAATATAAATACTGGTAAGGATATATAATTGAGAATACTAAGTAGTTGAAGCCCTACTTAGAGGGTCACACCCCCAAATCCTGCCATAATTCACACCGGGGTTTTGACACTTAATATGCGTGCCAATAAAATAAAAGCTTGGCTTGCTTATAGTGTGTTCAGCAGATCTCATTTTGGCACTCTGCCTTCCTGAGTATCTCCCCATTGTTCTATCCTCTTCTGTCAGCTTGCGTGGTCAGGCATACTCCGATTGTCATTTCACCTGATTTATCACTCCAATTTTGACTTTTGGGGTCTGTGGAGAAAAGAGCATTTGAGAGAGAGAAAGAGAGCAAACAAGAGTCGGCTTCTGAAAAATGGCCTCTCCTTATTTCTGCTGTGAGCAGATAAATGACAGAAAGAAATCATTGCCTTTATGCAGTTAGGCTCTTTCTGAATGTGTTGCTGAATTTGGAGCTGTACTAAATTCATTATGAATGTCTCCTAGGTGCCATAAACCATGACAAGCATGAATTAATGTCTCAGCCCGTTTGCCATCAGTTAAAGACACACACCTATATTAGCCTCTAAATATGTTTTACTCTGTTATAGACTTACTGACATAACCTACAAATCCTACAGTCAGCCAGCCAACACTGAGTAACTTTTTGTGTTCAGTGAATGTGAAAATTGATCTATCTATCTATCTATCTATCTATCTGTCTGTCTGTCTGTCTGTCTGTCTGTCTGTCGTTTATTCATTCCGTCCGTCCGTCTCTATCTGTCTGTCTCTATCTATCTATCTATCTATCTGTCTGTCTGTCTGTCTGTCTGTCTGTCTGTC